ATGTGGAGGGGATTATAATCAATGTAATGAAACAAGGTATATGAATGTTTGAATGTGAAACCAATGATGTGCCCTGAAAACTTTCACTCAATCCACAATAAAAACCTTAAAAAAAAAAAAAAATTGTTCTCAGACTGTGGACTCTCTTTTTACTCTTGTGATGAAATCTTTTGATGCATGTGCCTAAGTCTTAGGAGGTCCCAGTCATCTATTGTTTACATAGACTTTTATACCCTTCTTTTTTCTCCTCATTCATTACTGTAATGTTTTCCCATATGGTGGGACCCCCACCACAAGCAGCATTTTAATGGCTGCATAAGATTATGTTTTACAGCTGAAACATAATTTACTAAATGCCATTATAAATAATGCAGTAAATGCTTTGTATGTAAAGCTTTGTCTCCATTTGGGCTTAGTACTTAGGATAGCTGCCCAGATGAGGAATTACTGTATCAGATAGTACAAGCATTTTTAGGACTCTCAGTATATCCTGCTGAATGTTTCATCATTTAAGACTTTGCCTGGAGTTTTTCTAATCTTGTGTAGGGCTCCAGGGAGCACAGCCAGAGTGTGTACCAAATCTGAATTCCACCTGCTCACTCACTCGGTGCAGGGGAACACTCTCTCACACACTCTGTTGGAGGGAGTGTAAATTGGCACAACTTTTCCAGACGGCATTTTGGCAACTGTCAAAAGTCATCCAAAGGCCTGTGTGCCCTGACTCACGATGGATGCTAAGTAGATATAGAGATTCAACATGTCAGTGTTAGTAGCTATGGAAGATGTGGACCAACATAAATGTCCAACAGTAGGGGGAGAATAAAATCACTAAGCAGCTCTGGTAGCATAGTGGTTACGAATCGGGCTGCGAACCGCAAGGTCAGCAGTTCAAAACTACCAGCTATTCCGCGGGAGAAAGATGAGGCTTTCTGCTCCCATAAAGATTTACAGCCTCATCACCACCACCACCACTGGTAAACTGGAACCACTGAAAATTATGATGATAAAGACCGTATAAGGCGATGGGAAATGCTTATAGCACAAAGAATTTCACTTTCTCAAACCTCAAGGTCAATTTAGAGAAAATAAAATTGTGAGTATCACTGGATTCTTGTTGGGTCCTCTCAGCCCCGTGTGACTGAGTAGAAGTGCCCCGTAGAGTTTTCTTGGCTGTAATCTGTATGAAAACAGATCATCAGCTGTGTCTCCCATGGAGCTGTTGGATGAGTTTGAATTGTAGACCTTTTGGTTAGCAGCTGGCGCTTACACTTAATCACTGTGCCAAAAGGATCATTTCATTTTAGGGTGAGCTTTACCCAACATAAACTCTTCCTCAGGTTGGAAACACTTTTCATCAAGTTCATTGTATACTTCTTAAGCATCTATTTGTTGTTGTTGTTGTAAGTGCCATCGAGTTGGTTCCAACCCATAGCGACCCTGTATAGGATTTCCAAGGAACAGCTGGTAAGCTTGAACCGCCAACCTTGCAGCTCAAATCGGCTTTACAGTCCAGCGCATTAACCCACTGCTCTATACCAGGACTCCAAGCATCTATTAATCTTCTTATTCATTCCCTTTCTGCTGAACACTTAGGTTGCCTGACAACTTTTCCTTTGGATAAGCATCACTGCACTGAACATCTTTGTGTATGGAGCTTTGTCCATCTAAATAAGCATACTGAGAAAAAGCATTCTTAAATCTGGGTTGGTCTAGTTGATTACAACTCAAAGCAATCCTATAAGGCAGAGTAGAACTTCCCCACAGGGTTTCCGAGGCTGTCCTGTCTCTCTCCCACAGAGAAGCTGGTGGATTTAAATAGAAGACTTTGTGGTTAGCAGCCCAATGCTTAATCTTGGTTAGAGACAAAAAAACTAAATGACATAAAACAACATCAAATGGACCAACTAAGAGATGTACAGTTGTGCTTGTTTGTTTGTTTGACTTGGAGGAACTTTGAATCATCAAAACTTGAAGGGCCCTGAATAGCCAGGACTTTCCTTCACTCTTCCCTGTCTCCTAAAGATCTGTGATACTCCTGTCTCCCTTTTCCTAACCCCCCAGAGAGCACCTGCCGGGACTGGGACTGCCCAGCGCATCAGTGCTCGGGGACCACCCAGCCGCAAAGGCAGCCTCAGCATTGAAGACAACTTTGAGAGCATCAGTGAGCTAGGGCCCCTGGAACTGATGGGCCGAGAGCTGGAGCTGGCCCCCTATGGGACCCTTCGGAAGTCCCAGTCTGCTGACTCCCTGAACTCGGTCTCCTCTGTAAGCAACACCTTTGGACAGGACTTCACACTGGGCCAGGTGGAGGTGACCCTGGACTATGACGCTGCCTCGCACACCCTCCATGTGGCCCTGCTGCAGGGCAAGGACCTCCTGGAACGAGAGGAGGCCAGCTTCGAGTCCTGCTTCATGCGTGTTAATCTGCTGCCTGATGAACAGATTGTGGGTATTTCCCGGGTAAGTGGGGGCTGGGGCTGCCGGGGAGGCAGGCAGGCGGGCGGGCATCAGGTGGGCATCAGGCGGGACCCTGCTCTGAGTGGACAAGGCCGGCTGCACAAGGTGGAGGTGGATCTGGCCTCATGGGAAGCTGCCCCCACCAGGCCAGGAGGCCTGCAGACCATATTCAGAAAGGGAACCAGAGAGAAGATTTGGACCCAGATCCTGGAGCTGAAGGTGCGGACTGTAGTGAGGACAGACTGGGCATTTGGGGCCTCCACCTCAGGACTCCCACTAGGCATGATTCTCAGCTCAGATACAGCTCTCAGTACAGCCTGTGCTAATCAGTCCCCTGGACCATGTGGGGGTCCTGGCAGCAAAGGTTGGCATGCTCAAGTTGGCCAGTAGGAAGAGCATTAACCCCAGTGGGTGGGTAGGTGGAACAGGAGTCTAATAACAGTGGTGGTTCCACTCCAGGGGTGAGGGCAAGAGAAGAAGCTGGGGCAATGAGTACCCCACCTCCCTCCAGTGACCCTCACCAGCTGACCCCACCCAAAGCCAGAAGCCAGGGGAACCCCCTTGGTACAGCTGCAGGGGTCAGCCGCTGGGGCCAAGAGCATAGAGGAAGGGGAACAAACATTTCAGGAGACAGCTAGCAAACCCCACCAGACTGGTCCCTCCCACCTTGCCAAGAGGGAGCAAAGTCAACGTGAGATCTGCCCTATAGCACAGCAGTGTGGTTAGGGGCTGGGTGGGGGTCCAGGCCCCAGGAGGCTTTTGAGATGGGCGAGGACCACGTGTGGGCTCTGACACAGAATGGGAGGAACCTGAGGACCTACAAGACCAGAAATGCCTCTCATTCCTCAGAGGCCCACCTGTATCTGCCCACCTGGACTGTATTGAACTCAGGCTGGCCCCCACTGGCCACCAGCCATGTGTATGTGGGTGCCAAGCTGGGGTGGCCCAGCTTCCAAGAGGAAATGCAGCAGGAGGTTCAGAGCATAGACCCTGGAACCCTACTGCCTGGGTTCAAATCCAAGTTCCACCATTTCGTACCTTTCCCCTTGGGTAAGTCACTTAAACTCTCTGTGCCTCAGCTTCCCCATCTGTCAAATGGAGGTCTTAATGATTGTGGAGGCAGTGACTTAGGACTCATAAAGTCTTCAGTCCCATCCACCCCAAGCCCCACCCACTGACCTGGGCTTCCTGGAGGACTATGGTTGGTTCTGGATGTTGGCAGCTCAGGCACTCTGAGAATCGGCTCGTGGATCCCCCCACATCTTAGAGTCTCTCATTCATCTCCTGAAGTTGATAGGGTGAACTGTTAAGGCATCTCACAGATGGGGAAAATGAGGCTCAGAATCAAGCTTTGCTCAAGACAACCCCAGTGAGTGAGCAGATCACAGGTTTGAACCAGAAACCTCCGTCCAGAGGAGAATGGATGGGTGGGGAGCCCAAGACCTTACAGGCAGGGAGCAGAAAAGGGGTCAGTTTGTCCAAAGCAAAGAGTTGGGGCAGCGGGATCCACTCATGAATGTTGAGGTCAGGGAGTAGGAGAGGTTTTGGGGAGAAACTTCATCCCGTGGGGCGAGGAACCGTAGAAGGTTCTGGAACAGGGGGTGACTTGGGAACATAAGAGTGTGGCTCAGGGCACTTGGAGGCAGGAAGGCAGGCTTCACAGCCTGGCCAATCCCACAGAGATTCAGACCAGGTACCAGGGATGAGAGCTCCTCTCATTAAATACTGTCAGCCTATGACTCAGGCAGCCCCCACAGAAAGGGGAGCAGTGCCTGTGGGTGCTCCTCCCGGGGGGGGGCCTGCCCACAGCTTCCTGGGAGGAGGCCAATGGCACCCACCAGATAGGACCAAGCTTGGAAATGAGGTCAGTGCAGCTTTCCCTATTTACTCCGTTCATCCTTCCATCCATCCAGACACCCGCCCACCCAGCCCACAGTGGTCAGGGGCTCTGCAGTGTACGGGGTTGAGGGAGCTGGTCCAACGGCTGTTGTATAAAAAGTCATGAGAACAGAGGCTACCTACAGAGGCTGGTGGCCTGGGGTGCAGCGCCTGGTCCCGCCTGAGGGTCAAAGAGACTTCCTGGAGGAAGTGGTACCAAGCTAAGTCTCAGAAGGTAAGTGGACGCTAGTTCAGAGGAGCGGGGAGCTTGGCAGCAGAGAGGATGCCTTGGACAGAGGCCTGGCATGCTAGATATTATTTAATACTAGGGCAATGGGAAGCCATTGAAGGATCTTAAGTAGACAAGTCACATGATCAGACATATATATGTTTATATAAAAGGTCACCCTAGAGACGGCCAAAATGGGGCCTTCCACTGGTTGGAGTCTTGCTCAGGGAGCTCTTGACTGCACTGAACCGGTGGTCCTCCCAGGCCCCATCCCCAGCAGACTCCTGGGAGACCATTGTGGAAGCTGTAGGCAGGGGGTCCAATCTGCTCTGGCTGGCTAGTGGCTGTCCCTGGGACCCTGGACCTTTCACACTGGCCACCCAGTGGACTCCAGCTCCGCAGGAAAAACTGAAACTTCAAGAGAGCCACAGGCAGCCAGGTTTTCAGACACAGAAAGTCATAACCACCAGGAGAACAAACTGGGGTGTTGTTCTTTTGACTAGCTCTCAAATGCTGTGACATCTTTGTTGCCAGGCTGAGGATGGGGCCACTGCTCAATCATGGAAGGCAAAGACATGGGTTTCCTCATACATTCACTCCTGACTTCATCGTGGGGACCACCAGGCATCTTGTGCAACCTGGCCTTGTCGTTTCATAGCAGCCATGAAGCAGGGCTAAGAACGTGCCAGACCCCTTGGGTGACGGGTCATGAGCCACATGACTGGCATTCATTCAGCCACTCCCTCTGCACCGGGCATCAGCCTAGGAACTGAACACGTGTTGTCTCATGGTGGGTGTTGGTGATGTTAGGTGTCACTGAGTAGGTTCCAGTTCTAAGTGAACCCTCTTTACCACAGACTCCAACACTGCTCAGTCCTGTGCCGTCCTCACAACTATTGCTGTGTGAGTGCATTGTTGCTGTCAAAGCATAATTCTCCAGGAAGTGGTGCCTCCTGATGACATGTCTGAGTACATAAGATAAAGTCTCTCCATCCTTCCTTCTAAGGAGCATTCTGGCTATACTTCTTCCAACACAAATTTATTCATTCTTCTGATATAGTCAGTAATCTTCTCCAACACCATAATTCAAAGACACCAATGCTTCTCTGCTCTTCCTTACTCATTGTCCAGTTTTTGTATGCATATGAGTCATTTAAAAATACCATGGGTTGGACCAGATTGTGGAAGCTTCTAATGCCAGGCCACTAGACAGACCATCACTAAGGGGAGGACAGAGGGCATTTAAACCATGGAAGGTCCAAACCGAGCCCCCAAAGGAAGGATGACCACTCAGATTGTGGAGACAACGGAGCCAGGACTCCAGCCTAGGTCTCTGGACTCCCTGTCCTGTGTTCTATCCCTACTGCGGCCTCCCAGGCTCTGGCAGCCACCTCTTCTCCCACTCTCAAACTGCCTCCACTGCCCTTTCTTTTTGCAGATCCAGAGGAATGCCTACTCTATCTTTTTTGATGAGAAGTTCTCCATCCCTCTGGACCCTGCAGCCCTGGAGGAGAAGAGCCTGCGGTTTTCTGTGTTTGGCATTGACGAGGATGAGCGGAATGTCAGCACAGGGGTGGTAGAGCTGAAGCTTTCTGTGCTTGACCTCCCTATCCAGCCCTTCAGTGGCTGGCTCTACTTACAGGACCAGAACAAGGTGAGTGTGACCTGCCTCAGCCCACCCACCCTCACCCCATTTCCTTGGAATTCCACTGCCCTTTGCCACCAGACCCCTGGCAGCTTTAGGAGAGTAGGGAAAGAGACCTGAGCCACATTGGAAGAAACTCTACTTGCCCGTGTGCAAAGGAAAGCCACCCTAACCACTGCTTACAGCTTTTCTACTACTCTTAACACCAAACTTTCAGAGGCTCTGTGCTTCTGACAGGGAGGCACTCCTCCGGCCCTGGAGTGGGTTATTTTAGAGAGAGGCCAAGCTGAAGTTTACCTTTTTGATACAGCCATGTTTGGAGAGCATCGTTGTTGAAGCAAATGATCTCATTTCAATCTTTCTTGTCCCTTTGGACTTCCATGTACCACTACTGTGAATGTTTGCCTTGGCCTGGAATAAGCAGTTGGGACCAAAACTGCATCTGATTGCTGCTTTGACAGGCAACCTCTGGTCCACCTTCCAAGGCAGGGCCTCTACTGGTGGGAGGCAGGGGTGGTGCATGATCTGTGGGGTCAGAGTCGGGGTCCCTTCCCTGATCCTGATGTAAGGGCTTCAACAACAGTGCCTTTTCTATGGAGGAGGGGGCTTCTACCCTTTCCTGGCAATCCAGGCCTTTCCATGGACCCCTTGAGTCCTAAAGGAAAAGCCACCTGAGCTACCTGCCTGTCCCCCAGGCTGCAGACGCTGTGGGCGAGATCCTGCTATCCCTCAGTTACCTACCCACAGCCGAGCGCCTCACCGTGGTTGTGGTGAAAGCCAAGAACCTCATCTGGAGCAATAACAAGACCACGGCAGGTAAGGAAGACCCCACTGGTTGCCCTAGGCCTGCCTGGCTCCTGTATGTGGTGGGATGCGCCCTGGACACCCGGAAGCACTAACGGTGTGGGGCACAGTGCCAGCCTTCACACACACACACACACACACACACACACACACACACACACACACGGCTGTTGCTGAGCTCAGGAGCCATGCATGATGGCAGGTAAATGAGGCCTGCTGGGGAAACAGGGATCTGTGGAGGGGGTGGGGAAGCCTTTGTGAAGGGATGGGGGTGGGACCAAGTAACAGAGGGCCTGAGAGCTAAAGGCAGTCATGGGTGGGTGGGCACTGGATAGAGAATCGAGGAGGTGAGCAACCATTTCCCAGAACTAGGGTTCACAATGGAGGCTCTATAGCCAGAGGCAGGGCAGACCCGCAGACCCCAAACAGGGACCAGGGACCCCCAGGATGGGGTGGATACCAGGTCTTCAGGAGTCTCTAGCACCCCTCTCCAAAGCTGTGTCCTAAGTACACAAAGACAAAGCGCTGGGGAACCCCACCAGTAGGGAGGTGCCAGCCTGTGGAGACCCATGCCCAGGCAGGTGCAGTAGGGTCACCGGGTGGGTGGCAGGTGATTGGCAGACAGCAACTGTTATTTCAGAGTCGTGAGTCAGGCTCTGCTGAGTGGGTGCTGGGTGACTCAGGCAGACTGCTGCTCTGGGGCCATTTTTAGAATGAACAGAGTTGGGACTACTGAGCCCCCAAAGCCCCTGGTGAGAGGAGCAAGCGTGTAGGCCTTGAGGCAGGCTGCATGAGCACAAAGCACAGATTTTCTCCTGATGTACATGTGAGCCTCTGTCTCCTCATCTGTAAAATGGGAACCAGAGAAGATGGCAATTGCAGAGGTTTTGAGGGGTTAGCGGGGGATTGGAGTCAGTAGGTAAGCCGAATGGACAGACGAGTGTGATGCTGGTTCTCAGCCTGCTCCCTCCCTCCACCCACCCACAGACCCATTCGTCAAGGTGTACCTGCTGCAGGATGGGAGGAAGATGAGCAAAAAGAAGACAGCCGTGAAGAGGGATGACCCCCACCCCGTGTTCAACGAGGCCATGATTTTCTCAGTGCCAGTCATCGTGCTCCAGGTGAGGGGGGCCGGGCTGGACAGGTCACCTGCGGCGGGGAGCCACTCCATCCCCTCCAGCCTCACTTTTGGGGGCTCCTGCAGGTGATGAGGATTTGCCCCAGCCATCACCTTTCAGGCCAAGAAGTACTTATTTACTCAGCGCCCCCTGGATTCTGAGGACACAGTTGTTCACAAAGAACAAATAGCAAAATCTCCCGACGACAATCCCAATCCACCCAGGAGGGGCTGCTAAACTAAGATCAGGGGGCATTTCCAAAGACCTGGCGAAGAACCAGAGATAGCCCAGGGGCCCAGAGTTCTGGCCCTCAATCCCCCAAGCTTCCTCCCACAGAGGCCCTGTGTTCTTTGTGACTCTCAGAAACCAAGGAGCCCCACACGAGTGGCCCTGCTTACATGCCTCAGAGAATGGAGAGCTCACTACTACCTCCATTGACTCCTCCTATCCTTAGGCAATCTTTCTTATCATCTATATATAGACTTTATTTTTAGATTGTTGGTTGTTTTTTTAAAAAACAACAACAACAAAAACTTTTTATTGTGAATTGAGTGAAAGTTTGCAAAGCAGATCGTCGACGTTACAGTCAACAAATTATAGACTTCATTTCATCTCAATGACTACATTCCCCTCAATGGAACATCATTTAGTACACTTCCGCCCTGTGTTACTGGTTCTATTCCTGCTTTCCCGGCTCTTCTGGATTGTGTCCTTAGGTAAATACTACCCTTTTGATCTCAAATGGTTGGCCAGTCTATGGTGTACCTGCCAATTGCTTGGCTGAAAATTGAGCCACAGAGGTGACCTCAGTTCCAGACCTGAAGGGTGACCAAAGGTCATCGTCTCAGGATCTCACCAGTTTCTTTCTGACCGGTAAACCTGGTCTTTCTTTTTTGGTGTTTTTTGGGGTTTTTTTTATGATTTTGAGTCTTGTTCCACAACTTAGCTCACTCTATCCAGAACCTTCTAATGTGATCCCTTTTAGAGCAGTTGATAGTGGTAACCACGTACCATCTAGTTCATTTGATCTCAGGCCCATGGAGACTAATGTCCATTGGACTTACTATTTCTAAGAGTTTTCCATTTTCTTCACCCTTCTTTCCTCCTCACAGGCAGAGACCAACAGTTGCACCTTAGCTGGCTGCTCATGCGCTTTTAAGATCCCAGTTGCTACTCATCAAAGTAGCGTGTAGAACGTTGTCATTGTGGACTGTTACGCCAGTTGACCATAGTGTCCCCCAAGACTTGGTTTTCTTTTGTTGTTTTCTAAGTGTGTGGTCCTGTAGGATAAGCACTGAACCACCAGGTCATTTTGAACTGAAAGGTCAGCAGTTCAAACCCACCAGTTAGTTGCTCCTTGGAAACCCTATGCAGGATCGCTGTAAGTCAGAACTGATTCAATAGCAGTTAACAAGTGTGTGGCCCTAATATGCATTCATGGTGATCAAGTCTTCTCATTTTCAAATCTCTGTTCTCCAAGCATTTGATTTAGTGTTGGGCACAAGGGGACTTAATAAATACACACAGCAAGGGATGAAATGGAGTTTGGGCCTTGTTTGTCTAGCTTGTACTCATGGTGTGGGCTGCAGGGTGAGGCAGAGCTAGATCAAATCTTTGCTCCGCCATTCCATGACTGAGCAACTTTGGAGAAGTCTCCTCACCTCTCAGGTGAGATTGAGGATTCTGGGAGCATACCTGGCCCCATGCAGGGGCCTGGCATGTGCAGACTGGGACCTGAGAACCAAGGAGGGCCACAGGCACAGCTCCTGGTCCCCAGTGCCCATGTCACCCCCTCCCCAGGACCTGTCTCTCCGTGTGACGGTGGCTGAGAGCAGCAGCGATGGCCGTGGAGACAACGTGGGTCACGTCATCATCGGGCCGTCAGCCAGTGGCATGGGCACCACACACTGGAACCAGATGCTGGCCACACTACGAAGACCTGTGTCCATGTGGCACCCCGTCCGGCGAAACTAGTGATTGGGGAAGGGCCAGGGTGGACACTGGAACCACCTGGAGCCAGGTGTAAGCTCAACTCTGTCCAACACTCTTCTCCAGAGTCCAGCTGGAGCTACAAACACCAGGGTCCTCAAGAGACAGCGTGGTCCTCTGTCCAGACTGCAGTGGAGGAACTGACCTGGCTGTCCAGGGACCCAGGACTTTCCTCCACACATGACCAACTATGGCTGGGCCAGACCCCAGGGAAGGCAGCTGAGCAAGGAGCTGGGCCCTAGCCAACTGTACTCCTTTACCAATATTCCCAAAGGGTTTATCCCTCCACATGGGAGGGCCCTTGGCCTCTCAAAACAGGTGAGCTCCCCACCCCACTCCTCCCGGGAGTCTAGCCACTGAGCTGGTGGTGCACAGAAGCTGAGCGAGTTCTGGATCTTGTGCTGTGCCAGACACTAGCAGCGGTGATGTGAACCAGACAACCGTGCCACGGAGGGATGTGGGCAGGATAAACCCTTCCAGGAGGCCTGCTCAGTGCTGAGTGGTGGTCCAGCCATGCAGACTCAGGGAGTGCACAAGGAAGCCCCCGGGTCAGGTGAGAACTGTGCTTTGAGGACTAGGGACAAAAGTGAGGGTGTTACAGGCAGGAGGCCCACCCGAGCAATGGCAGGAACATGAACTTGGCTGGTGCTGTGCAGGGATAGGAGGATGAACTTCCTGTTCCAAATGCAGCTCTTGGATCCCTGCAGTGGACACAGCCCTCTCTCTGGGCAGAAGATACCAGCCCCAAACAGGTTGGCATGGAGAGCCATTTCCAAGTTATTCTCTGTGGAATTTACTCCCTGAACCTCAACTGATGAAGACCCAGAGGTCCAAAGAGCCTTTTGTGTTGGGCTCCTGTAAATGGCATTGGCTCAGCAAGCCCTCGCTGTGGGCTGCAGGTGACCTGAAGGGGCTGAAAGGGTGGAAAGAACAAAGATTCCAGGTGCCCCGAGGCAGGAGGGGGCTTGTGCGCAGCAGACATCTGGGGCCATTGGATGGAGGAGGCTGAGCAGGATCCAGCCTCAGCAGATGCAGCGAAAGGCAGCCAGGGGGCGCTCTCAGCCCCTCCGTCTGCAACACCATGGGAAACCGAGAGCTTGCACGTACAAAGGGCGAATTGAGGGACAACCCTGGAGGCTTCGAACACCAGACCGGGCTCCTGGATACGGCTCAGACCTCTGGGACTCTGTGACCCCTAGGTCACACTCTCAGAGGCACAGCTGGAATGGAGAAAGGGAAGCAGATAGGTGGGGCTTCAGAAAGAGTCTGATCTACCCTTATGGCCCCTCACAGCTGGACTGTGACCCTCCACACTTGTCTGGCTGTGGCTCCCACCTACCCCCAACAGCAGGGGAGTGTGTAATTCCAGTACCCTCCAGGTGTTACAGCTGACGCAGCCCCTTCCGTGCAGGGGCGATCTAGAAAAGCAAATGGCGGGGTGCACTCATCCCTGGCTGCTCAAAGGGATGGAGGACATATGTCCACTCTATGGGACCACCCACAAATGAGAGCCCTGGCCCCTTGGCCCTGGAGAACTGTGATGGCCCAGCCCCCACCCCCACCCCCACCCCTAGTTAGTTATCCCGGTGTCATGGGATGGTAGAATTGTAGAATTGGATGAAATGGAGTAGTCAGACTGGAAGCAAGATGGTGGTGCCCCCCTCTAGACCCAGCCTTGCCCCTCCCCCCTCCCTGCATGAAAAGTGTGCTGGGCATCAGGGAGGGGCTTGGTGGGACTGAGTATGTTGACTGAAATGATTCTAGAACCAAAATAAAGTTGGGACAGGGAGGGAGGGCGTCCAGAGGCCTCCTCCTCCACCCAAGTCACCTTCATCTCTTCTCAGTTGCTGTGTGGGCACCACCCCCACCCCCCCATTCCTTCTCCTTCTATTGGAGAGTCAGGAAGATCAAGGTCATTAAGCTGCATGGAGGTGGGCGGAAGAAGATAGGGACCAGGGGACATCCAGAAGGGCTTCCCAGTAGTAGCTAGTGATGCTAAGCTGAGTCTTCAGGTCAAGAAGGAGAGTATCAGATGGACATGGCAGGAAAAGCATCATACACTAAAGGACAGGAGTGGGCAAAAACTTGCCCGTTTATCCACTGGCTAGACTCTAGCCAACAGAGCAAGGATGGGGAGGGGAGGAGAAATAAGGGGAGGCAGGGAAGAGGGAAAAGGGTCTTGAAGTTTATGGCATATTAGCACCCAGACTAAGAGCCCCGGTGGTATTGTAGGTTAAGCATTGGGCTGCTAACCACAAGTTCCGTATTTCAAACCCACCAGCCACTCCTCAGGAGAAAGATGAGGCTGTCTGCCTACTCCCATAAAGATTTACAGCCTTGGAGACCCTATGGGGAGTTCTGGTGTGGACTGATGCACTAGACTGCAAAGTCAGTTTGAACCTCAAGGTCAGTGGTTCAAGCTCACCAGTTGCTCCTCAGAAACCCTATACAGGGGTCAGTATGGTTTAGAACCGACTCTATGGCACTTAACAACAACATAGGGTCACAAAGTCAGAGTTGACTCAGTGGCAGTGGGCTTGATTTTTGCTTTGGTTTGGTATCCAGGCATCCCTCACCTTCCATCTACCCCCAGAGCCTGTAACCAATGACACCAGCTGTTCCAGGGCTGGAGGCAAGACCAGGAAGGCTTCATGGAGGAGGTGCAATGTGAGAACTGGCCTTGGAGGGCAGGAGGGAGAGGGACCCCTACTTCAGAGGATGAAATGAAATGATGCATGTCAAGTACAGGAATAGAGCAAGTGCTGAAATCTGTGGAAGAGCCAAGGACGAAAGGCTCTTGGGAGACTGGGTAGAAGGAGGGTCAGATGACAAGCAGAGGGCCTTGGGAATTACAGTCCATTCTGTGTCCCATCCAGATCCCAAGGAGCAGACCTCAGGTTCCACCCTCCTGATACTCACTTTACCCCTTATTCAATCACCCATAATCACTCCACACCTCAAACCAGAAATCCCAGAGAAGCAGACAGCATTGATGGTGTTGCAGGGAGCCGAGTGGCCACATGGGGGCAACAGAGAACCATCCCAGGAGGGATGGAGTCTTGGCCTTAGGGGAGGGTGGGAATCAGAAAATGGGGCAGAGGGGCCAAGGTCAGGGAGCCCTGTAGGCCTAAAGCCTGGCAGATGACTGGGGTGAGGTCATCTGCACCCAGAACCCGCACAGGTCATGTGCTGTGTTCACTCATACAGGTAGTTATTTGTTCATTGAGTCATTTCCTCACTTGTTTATTGTCCTGAGCTAACCTTCCTCCCTTCCTTATTCCTTCCTTCACTTGCACCCTCCCATTTTTCCCCATGCCTTTGTTTGTACAGCCTCATAGTCATGGGTCACAACATCCTGAGCCATTGCAGGGTTCTAACCTGGGCCAAGCACTCCTCTTAGGGGCAGAGATGGATCAGTTTGGGTTCCTGCCCTTGGGGGACTCAGGCTTGATTCAGTGCTGGGAGACCCTGCCTGTCCACCTGCATGCCCAAGGAGGGGCTACTTTGGGGGCTGAAGGCTTGGGGCAGTGACTGCTGGGTTGGGTTCTAGAAGGACTCTGAACTCAGCCTGGACGGGGCCTCCAGGGGGGCTGAGTCACTAGTCTGGTAGTAACCATAGCCACACTAAGCTGGTGGGGCAGACTGCAGCCACCTCCCTACTCTGAAAATCAATTCCAGGAAAGCTGTGGTCCAGGGCACCCAGTGATGTCTTGCATTCCTGAACATTTCCTGCCAACTATGGCCCTGTGATAAGTGTCCCTCTTGCAGAAGCATTATCATAGGGTTGGGGTGAGGCTGGGACTTGGTGTCAGCAGGTCTGGGTTCAAATTGTGCTCTGATACTTGCTAGCCTGGGGCAAGTCACTGCCCCTCTTTGCCTCAGTTTCCAAATATGGAACATGGTGGGGGGGAAGGTGCATCACCTGCCCACCTCACACTCTGAGAGTTGTATAAAATCATGTATATGAGGCATGATGTTAGGAAAGACCCTGGTTTGGGGGTCAGACAGACCTGGGTTCAAATCCCAGTCCTGCCTCCTTGGATCTTAGACAAAGAACGTCACATCTTTGTTCCTCGGATAATCCCAGCCTGCACACAGCTGTTGTTAAGTGCTGTTAAGGTGGCTCTCACTCAGAGTTGACTCTCTATAGGGTTTTCGAGGAGCGGCTAGTGGATTTGAACCACTGATCTTGAAGTTAGCAGTCCAGTGTTGATCCTACAGGACTGCACATTGCTACTATCAGGACATGTTGAGTGAAACTGTGAAAGCAGGACACATACCAAGGGCCTCATTAGTGTGATTATCCCTATGGTAACCAAGACCAAACTCCTGCCCTTCTCTCCGCCCCCAGTTTGGGCTCCACCTGCCTCCCAGCTTTGCCACCCAAGACCTGAGACAGCTTCAGTGCAGACAATGGGGGGGTTGGTGAGGCTGACAGCCGATGACTGGGGGATGGATTCCTCCCCACCACTCCTTTGGGCGGGGAGCCTAACTCAGCGGCTACACATCCAGTCTAGTGCCAAGTTACTGCCCAGCCCGACAGCACTTTCAGGGAGGAAGGGGAACCCAAAGGGTGGTGATGGCCTCTCCCTTAATCCAGGTGAAGTTCTATCAGCCCGACGACCATGACCTTGTAGGGGAGCATTAGAATAGGGGTCCACTAATCAGGACACCACCTATGTGACGGTGGGCAAGTCTCTCTGCCTCTCTACAGTGGAGGTCTTGACTCTTGCCCCACTGGAGTGAGGTTTAAATGGAGGCTGAAGGTGCTTTCTCACCTCTTGATTTTGGCTCTATGGAGAATTACACCATGAAAAGTACAGGGAGGGCGAGGGTGGGATGTGAAACCCAGAATGCTCTAGCTCCTGTTCCTTCACGTTTCAATTAAAAACTCAGTCCAGGACATAGAGAGAGCCTCAGAGCCATTTAAAAAGATTTCAACCCTGGATAACAGGGCTGCTAATGGGGGTGGGACTAGGGGGCTCCCAGTTCTGTGGAGCACTGGCATCCAAAGTGCTCCACCACCTAGACCCTACTGAACCCTCAGCCTCAGCTCCCCAACCAAACCTCTCCCTCCACCTCAGGGAAGGGCTGCCTACCCCCTGGCCACCTCTCGCTCTTGCCCCCATACCTTTGCACGTGCTGTTCCTTGGCCTTGGAGCACACTTCCTCTTCCACCTAATTGGGTATCACTTTTCCCTCTAGACTCAAGCCAACGAGCCCCACTTCTCTGAAAGACTTCCTGACACCCACCCCTAAAGCTCTTATTAGATGGGTACCCCCCCACGCCCACCTGTCTTCCAGTCTAGCTGTTGCTCCTCTTGAACATTTAAGGGACCCTCATATTTGTTAAATAAGAACTGCCCACCTCACCCAGACCCTGTTCTAACTGAAGCACTTTTTTAAATGAAAGGGTCATCACTTTCTTTACATCTCACCCTTGCCAGAGGTGAGACAGATGGTCAACCACCTGCAGCGACACTTCCTAGCAATGTCAGACTCCTGTTGGCAGAGTCACCAACTCTTTCTATATACTTGGCCCATGATGGACACCGAGACCCAAGCCTTGTCTCCACACAGCTTATAGGCTTACCCTCACCCCCTATTCCTAAGGGAAGTGACCAGGCACCTGCTCTCCTTCCTGTAAAGGATCCTTGGTGGTGCAATTGTTAAGTGCTGGACTGCTAACCCTAAAGTTTGGTGATATGAACACACCAGTGGCTCCTGAGGAGAAAACCACAGGATCAGGTCCCATAAAGATTACTGGCAAGAAAACCTTACGTGGTATTTCCACTCTGTCACACGGGGTCGCTGTTGTTTTTTTAGTGGTGACTCATAGCGACCCTGTGTAGGGTTTCCAAGGAGCAGCTGGTGGGTTTGAACCAGCAGCCTAGTGGTTAGCAGTCCGATGCTGATCGTACAGCGCCATACCAGGACTTCACACGGGGTTACAAGGAGTCAAAATCAACAACCATCTCCCCGGATCCCCAGAGGCGGATCTAAGGTATAGTAGATCTGGCACATGCCCAGGGCCCCACTTGAAGGAGGCGGGGCGCCACAGAGCAGTTTCTATTAGTAATCAGTTTCCATCATAACCCTGAGAGATCACTCAGCAAGTTCAAACGAATACTTTTCCTATTTGAGAAGCATTTTCTCTCCTGCTGCCACCTTCTCTCCTCTTTCCTTTCCCCCGCCCCGAGGGCCTCAGCATCCCAACGCGCCGCCAGCCCCCTAGTTGCTCCCGCCCCTGCCCACGCCTCCCCTCCACCCAACCAATAGCAATTGCCCTCTTTGCCCCTGGAACTTTTCCAGCTGTTAGGGACTATTTTCTCTTAATGTAATCTTCCACAAACTGGATGGGAAAGTGACCTGAGGTCTGAGAAGGACCAAGGCCGTGTGGTGCGGGTAGGGGGTCGCGTGAGATCTGGGTTGTTTTTAAAATGGTCTCTTCCATGAAAAAGAATTATTGGGCCCCTAAAGCAGAGTTTTCATTGTTGGATTAATTGTCCAAGGTGGACGATGATACTAAATTTTAAGATGGGTGTCAGAGATTTGAACAGAGGTTCACTTGCAAGGGCTTTCTACGGGTGCAATTGCACTCTTCTCCCACTGGGTGGGTGGAAAGAGGTAACCTGACCCCACGTAGGGAACATCTCTCGGTAGCTGAATGGAGCGTGAACTCCCGTCCCGCCCCCTCCCCGCCTTCGCCTCCGCCCCGCCCACATTCCTGCCTGTGGCCACCGGCGCCTGTCCTCGCGCCTCTTCAGCCGACGATCGTCGCCACCGGACCATCGCGGCCCGGCATGAAGGCCGCCCAGGCTGCAAGTGAGGAGGTGCCGCCAGGAGTGCGGTCCGCCAAGGTGGTCCTGGTGGGCGACGGGGGCTGCGGGAAGACGTCCTTGCTGATGGTCTTCGCAGAAGGGGCCTTCCCAGAGGTGAGAGTCACTCCTTTCTGGGCGGAGGTGCCCCGAAGGTCCCCTGGGGAGACTGGACCAAGGGTAGAGTTCCCTTTTCGCCCTGCCATCTGGCCTCAAGGAGGTTATCTGTAAAGTGGGCTGAGTGTTACCCACAAGGAGGTGACCACAGGCACCCTGGGTACCTAGCCGGCTCTTGGAGGGTGTTTGGCAATACCATGGTTGAGAGGGCCCACCGGCAGCCAGCTGTCTAGCTTCCAGTCATGCCACTTAGAGCTGTGTGCCCTTCAACAAGTGCCCTGCCTTCTCTGCCCGCTCCTTAACTACAAAGTAGGTGTGAACAGCGGTCAAGCCTCAGGTGCAGGCCAGCACAGAGTAAGGACCTCCTGAAGATTGGTGGCTGACAATCTTGGGAAACATTGGCGTGATTTTCCCCAGCTCTTGCCCCTACGCTGGGCTATGGTCCCTAGTTGAAGGCAGGAGACAGAGAGCTGGGTTGGTAACTTGACTCACTCTCAGCCAACTGTGTGGCTCAGTAACTTGCTTGTCATGTCTTGGCACTCTGGGCATATTAACCACTGACTGTCCACTTGAACTGGACAGGGGCTAGGGCCACTCCTGTGACCCATCTCAGACCAGTCTGCCTGAAATCCACTGTTTCCCAGTCTCTCCTTCCTCCCCTTCCTCCCTCCCTCCCTCCCCAACATCCTTGGAATCCTTGGTGTCGTGAGGCTCCGGAGAGCCCTCTGCAGGCGCCAGGAGAAACAGGCTCTGGCATTGTGGCCTTTCCATGCGCTCCTATGGTATGCAGCACATTTGGTAGCTTGGGGGGTGAGGGGGGTGGGGGGGAGACTCACATTCTTTCCTAGCCACACATTTTTTAAAAGTTGTTTCCAGGCCCCAGATGTTGACCATTTGGAAACCCAGCAATTATGATGTGGGCCCAGAGGAAACGTCTCATTACCAGCGTCCTCCTCCTGAGATGGCCTTGCTGGGAGGCCTGTCCCAATCAGAGAGGAGGACGAGCATTTCACACACACTAGGAAGGTGTGCTCTTCACGGGGGTGGTGTGTGTGTGTGTGCTGACTTTGTATAGGCTCTCCCTCTGCCTGGGTGCATGGGTTTCCTGAGCCCATCTGACTTCGAACACAAGATGGGCTTCTTCTGTAAATAAGACACAGGGTTGGAGAGCCAGAAAGATGGGGAAACTGAGACCAAAGAGAGTCTTACCTTGGGTTACACAGCCCAGCGTTGGTCTAGGACCAAGGTGTCCCCAGCATTCCCAGGATGCTCTCTGAAGCCCCCAGTGAAGGGATAGGACTTTCCCTGGCTGCAATTTGGGGCACACCTGTCCCCACAGAGCCCAAGACCCGACCACCCTAGGGTGGGGAGTCAAGAGAACAGGGAGTGCCCAGTCCTGCCTGCTAGCCCAGCAGTGCCCAGCTGGTCTGCACTAGGACATTCCCATGGGTGCCCTGCGGAGGGAAACCCCTTACACTTCCCCCTAAGCTGCATCCCCCATGGGTAATGATCACTTGCTAGCGTCACAGGGCAGATCCAAGGCTGGGTCACCTGTGCACTGGTCCAACACAGGTCAGTTCTGTCCTTCTGACTGGAGACAGTGCTGCAGATAAGATTAGGTGCTTATGGAACGCATGGGCAAGGAGTGACCTGCCTAGGGGCTTGAAAGACCACTATAGAAGGTGTGGCTGCATCCCCAGGATGGTGTTCCAGGGTGAGGGGAGACTTGTGGGGATTACTAACTAGAGGACCCCAGCCCTGGAATGGGGTGTTTCCTCCCACTCCTCGCACCAAAGACCTCAGGAAGGCAGGTAACAAGGAACAGAGCCTAGCCTCTGGAGCCAGAGAGACCTGGTTCAGTCACTAACCAGCTGTCTAGTTTTGTCACCTTGAGCAGGACACTTCCCTCTCTGGGCTTCAGTGTTCTCATCAGGATAATAGGGGTTCTGCTGACTTCCCAGTCTGTGGGTGGTACAAACCTAGAGGATCCCTGGTGGTGCCGTGGTTAAAGCACTCTGCTGCTAACTGAAAGGTGAGTTGTTTGAACCCACCAGCCACTCCCTGGGGAAAAGATGTGTCAGTCGGCTTCTTTAAAGAATTATAGCCTTATAAATCGCATGGGGCAGTTCTACTAGCCTTTAGGGTCCCTACGAGCGGGAATTGACTCGACAACAACTGAGTTGGATTGGGTGGGGTTCATTAACCCTAAGGTTGGCTATTTGAATCCACCCAGCTGCACCACAGAAGAAAGTCCTGGAGATTCGCTTCTATGAAGAGTCTAGCTAAGAAACCCTGATAAGGCAGTTCTAGTCTGTAGCACATGGGTTGTCGTGAGTCGTCATAGACTTGACAACGAGTCGGGTTTACCAACTTCCCCAGGTTGCAAAGATGAGAGATGGTGCCAGTCCGAGGTCCTTAGACTGGGCTGGCGGATGTCATCTCCAAGTTATTTGCAGAGTACTGACTGGAGAAGTTTGTGGCAGCCCGCCCTCCAGCTGGGATCAGGGAGTCCTGTCTCAGGAATCCCGCTAGTGAGGAGGTGGTAGAGCTGGGAGCTCCCTGCTATCTGTCCCCTTCCAATGGCAGGCCCCTACTCAGGGAAGATTGTTAGCAGCCCCATGGAAAGGGACAGCCATGCTGGAGCGTGGGTCTCCCCACCATATCACACCCTTTAGCCAGTGAGGGTCCAGAGGGCCTGGATGACTGGCCCACTGTCACACTGATGGTGAGTGCCACGGACACCCAGCTACCACATCACACTTGCTTTTCCCACCAGACAGAGGGCCTGAGGGGAGGGGCCCTGGAGCAGGTTGGAGGGATGGGTTGGTGGGTGGGGTCCTTGCCTGTTACTACCCGTGGAGGGAGTTACTGGGTGACCTCACTATTCACTACCCCTCCCTGCTGCCTTTCTCCCCACTCTGTCTCATCCCCAGCAGCCTCCTCAAAGGAGCTGCTCCTTCCAACTGACCAGGGCCCAGTTACTGGCAGGCATGTTCCAAGTCCTTCTGACTCACCAGCAGGTGGGGCTCCACCTTATCTGGGAAGGAAGAGAGGGCTGGTCCCCCTAGGTCATGGCTCACTGATGCTGAGCAAAAGTAAGACCTGGAGACCCTTCAGGGCAAAGGATGGAGCATTTTGAAAGTCTCTTCACCCATTTGCTTTGACTCCGTATTGCCAAGTGCCCCCGGTTCATTTCCAAGTCTTCATCTGTGTTTTTTCCAAGCCTTTAGCTTCCAGGGGAGACTCCTGGTGTGGTGCCGTAGGATTAGCACTGAACTGTGAACCACAAGGTCAGCAGTTCAGATCCACCAACTGCTCCTCAGAAACCCTGTACTGGCTCACCATGAGTCAGAAGTGACTCAACAACATACACTAAACAACAAAAAAGCTTGCAAGGAGTGGAAATGCACTCCTGAGTCTACAACAGAACCGTAACCCTGAGGCAGAAACTTGTCCCGGGCTAGGGGACAGGAGGGGATTGTTGGGGGAAAGTGGCATTTGGCAGGATGTTGGCAGCACCGTGAGAAGCTGAGAGATCAAGGAGGCATCCCACAAAGCTGTTAAATCTCAGAGTGGGGATGGTTGTTATTCACTGCTTGATCCCCAGTGTCCAGAACCAGGTCCGGAGATGGCACTGATGTTTATTGAGTGACTAAATGAACAAACAAAAGGATGTGGGTTAATGTCATTCCAGGAGGAGGAAAGAGTTGGAACAAAGGCTCAGAAATGGTCGAGCCCCCTGCCCTGGGAGACAAAGATCGAAGTAACAGAAGCTAGCATAGAGCATGGATTGTTTTTTCTGTATCAGGCTCCATGCTAAGGGCTCTATGCGGAGTGTCTCATTGAACCCTGTACTGTAACACACTACTGTGGATACCTTTGTTATTTCCATTTCGCAGATGAGAAGAGTGTGGACCAGGAAGGTTTAGTCATTTCTCCAAAGCACACAGCTAGGAAATAAACTGTAGGCCTCCAGCCCAGGCAGCTCTACTAGGAACCTTTCAGAGCCTGCTACTCTCCTCTACTGCCTCCAAAGTGGAAGCGATGCTGGGTGCTCAGATCCCTCCCCTCTCAGCAGCTACGCTCATCTTTTGCTGTCTTCTTCCCAGAACTACACCCCCACGGTGTTTGAGCGATATGCCATCAATCTGCAAATAAAGGGCAAACCTGTGCGTCTCCAGATCTGGGACACAGCAGGTGAGTAGGCCAGAGGAGATCTAGCAGACTCCCAGGGCTGAGTGTCAAGGTCAAGGGTGGGAGATTCCCTGGAGCCTGTCCTCACCTTACTTCTGTACCTCTGTCTGCCTGCCTCTCCCATCCAGGACAGCCACCATGTCCTGGAGATAAAGGGGAAGTCTGGAGCCCTTTGCTCTCGGGGGTGGGCTGTGTCTGGTCCCCCAGCATTCCACCCTGGCTTTAGCTTATATAAGATGCACCTAATTTTGACTTTCACCTCTGCCCTCTAGCCTCCTAACCTTGTCCATACAAGCATTCAGAGCCAAGTCTATGTTGTTAGGTACTGTCAGGTAGATTCCAACTTATAGCAACCTTATGTGCAACAGGACAAAGCATTACCATGTCATTGCTGCTGCGTTGTGCAAATCCATCTTCCTTTTCTTCACTGACCCTCCACTTTACTGAGCATGATGTCCTTCTCCAGGGACTGGTCCCTCCTGGTGATATATCTGATGTATGAGAGATGAAGTCTGGCCATCTTGGCTTCTAAGGAGCATTCTGGCTGTATTTCTTCCAACACAGATTGGTTTGCTCTTTTGGCAGTCTGTGGTACTTTCTTTCATAACTCAAATGCATCAATTCTTCTACGATCTTCCTTATTCACTGTCCAGCTTTCACATGCATATGAGGTTATTGAAAGTAACATGGCTTGGGTCAGGCACACCTTAGTGCTCAAGCTGACATCTTTGCTCTTGAATGCTTTAAAGAGGTCTTGGGCAGCAGATTTGTCTAATGCAATACGTCGTTTGATTTCTTGCTGCTTCCATGAGTGTTGATGGTGAATCTAAGCAAAGTGAAATGTTTGGCAACTTCATTGTTTTCTCCATTTATCATGATGTTGTTTATTGGTCCAATGGTAAGGATTTTGTTTTCTTTACTGGAATTCAGAGTTAAGCAGAGGGCATTCCATCATGCCCCTGGCCCTGGATAGATTCACATGCCTTGACCAGAGTCCCTGCCTGGGTCCCTTACTCCTCACTCCGAAAGCCCAGAGCAGAGCAGGCTCCTGAGTGAGTGGCCTCCAACCCTCCAGGCCTGGACTTGGCCTCGCCTACCCCTTCAAAAACAGGCCTCTCTCAGCAGGTGGTCTCACCCAGACCAGGGTTACAATCAGGGAGGGCAGTCACCCAGGGTAGCCTCCTTTGTGTAGGACCCTGGGTTCCAGGACCTAGCCTTCCCCTTCAGAAGTTCCTCCTCCCCACCATCTGTTGGTGTGACACGGCCTGGTATTGGGGCAGTGCTGACAGTGGGCAGGAGGGAGTGACTGGCTCAATCTGCCCAGGACAAGATGACTATGACCGCCTGAGGCCCCTGTTCTACCCTGAGGCCAGCGTCCTGCTGCTCTGCTTCGATGTCACCAGCCCCCACAGCTTCAACAACGTCTTTGACCGGGTAGGTCCTGTGGGTGGGAAGGCACAGCCTCCACCTGCCCCATCCCTGCCCTGTCCCAGGCTAATGTCATGGCTGGACCAGCTCTAGATGACACAGAAGCCAATGCCTTTGGCATATGTATAAGGAAACTGAGGTCCAGGGAGACACAACTCAGAGGGGTACACAGAGATCTGCCTACCCCCACCCGTGCAGGCCCCTTCCACCATCCCAGGCCATGCTCAGAACTCTGGGTGCCAGGTGACCCACAGGTCCTTACATGTCCCCAGCCTGTCCAGCCCTCGACATCAAGGCCACATGAACCTTCACATCTGATGCCGGCAGCTCGCAGGCCCCATCTGTATGACCACAGGGTCTCAGCAGTCTCTCGAGTACCAGAGATGCGGTCCCTTGAGCCCCATCTTGTCGCTGCTTTGTGCCAACTGTCTGCTCCAGGGTTCCTCAGGGCAGAGCAGGCGACCACAATGACAGCATTTTAGTGAGAATTTTCCCGATTTCAGGAGCCTGGGTGGGTGGCAAAATGGCTGGCTGTTGGCTGCGAACCACAAGGTTGAAAGTTTGAACCCACCCAGAGATGTCGCAGAAGAAAGGCCTGGAGAACTGCTGCAATAAAAATTCCTGTTGTATGCGGTCAAGTCAACTGCAACTCCTAGCAACCCTGTAGGACAGAGCAGAGCTGCCCCATACGGTGGCCTAGGCTTTAAGGGCACAGATCGTCAGCTCTTTTCTATCAAAGAGCCACTTGTTGTTGTTGTTGTTAGGTGCCATCGAGTCGGTACTGACTCATAGTGACCTTATACACAGCAGAACGAAACACTGCCCGGTCCTGGGCCAACCTCACTACTTTTGCCATGCTTGAGTCCATCGATGCTGCCACTTGGCCAATCCATCTCATTGGGGGTCTTCCTCTTTTTCTCTGACCCTCCACCCTACCAAACATGAGATCCTTCTCCAGAGACTGGTCCCTCCTGACAATATGTCCCCAGTATGAGAGATGAAGTTTGGCCATCCTGGCCTCCAAGGAGCACTCTGGCTGCACTTCTTCCAAAACGCATCTGTTGGTTCTTTTGGTAGCCCATGGCACTTTCAATATTCTCCTCCAACACCATAACTCAAATGCATCAATTCTTCTACGGTCTTCCTTATTCACTGTCCAGCTTTTTCATGCATATGAGATTATTGAAAATACCATGGTTTGGGTCAGGTGCACCTTAGTCCTCAGGTGGGTTCAAACAGCCAACCTTGCAGTTTGCAGCTAAGCACTAACTGCATCGCCACCAGCACAAGAAAACTCAGTGGAGCAACTCTGCTCTGTATCGTGGAGTCATCATTAGTTGGAATCCGTCCGACCGCAGTGTATTTAGAACCACACGGTCCATAGTTCAAGCCCACTAGCCCCTCTGCAGAAGAAAGGATGGATAATCTGCTCTTGGAAAGCTTTAAAGCCCTGGAAAACGTATACAGGGTCACTATGAGTCAGAACCAACTCAATGGCTCACAACAACAAACCATGTGCCAGACTCTGTTCTGGGTATTGGAGACTGGAAGAGATGCTGGGGGAGGTGGGGACAGGGGTACTAGCAGTGGAGGGGTGAGAGGTGGGTAGGTTCTCAATCTGTTTTGAAGGCAGATCGTCAAGATTTGCTAAAGGATTGGAGGTGGGTGGGAGGTAGAACTGCCATATCCCGTACGAGAAGGGCAAGCTGGGGGTGCAGGAGACAGACTGACGTCCAGATGGGTGGGTTAGAAGCTAACACCTTCTGCAGGGTGGCTGGTGAGAGGCAGACGTTTGGAGCCATCACGGGCAGTGAACAAGATTGGGGAGCACCCGGGGGAAGAAGAGCAATTGTAGGGAGAGAGGAGGAGAGTGGGGTCCCAGAGCGGGGCTGCTCCCTGGAGTCAGGGCTGGCGGGGCCAGGTCAGATGAGGGCCAAGGGCCAGAATTCACTGTTGGATTTAGCAAGGTGGAGGCTCCAGAGGAGCTCTCTTAAGGGCAGTTTTGGTGACTGACTTGCCACCTTGGCCACATGTGGTCAATGACCACTGAAATGCACCCAAATGGGCACCATCGATGGTGCCCAGCTACTGCTGCTGACCACTCTTAAAGGGATCGCAATAGAGAGGCCTCAATTGTGGGAGAATCGTATGATTCTTTGCAATAGAGTGGGAGAAAAATGGAAAACAAAACACAAAATCCTAAAAAAGACTAGCCTCACTGGTCAAATAGAGACTGGTGGGACCCACAGGACTTTGGCCCTTAAGTCACCCTGAGGGTCTGGAACTGAACTCACCCCCCGTGGCTCAGTTCTCAGCTGGTCAGAAGACAGGTCTCTAAGGGGAACGTTGGGAATATGGTGGCTCTGTAGGATAAGCACTGGACTGCAAAACACAACGTCCGCAGGTCAAACCCACCAGCCGCTCGGGAGAAGATGAAAGTTTCTGCTCCCGAGAAGACTTGCAGCCTTGGAAACCTTATATAGGGGTGCTATGAATTGGAACCGATTCAGCAGCACTTAGCAATATGAGGTGAACATTGATAATACTAGGGAGGCATGCATTCCTCAGAATAATCCACTATTTGAGATTTTTTTTAAAAAGGTAAAGCTTCTGAAGGGTTACGATTTAAGGCAGAATGGAAACAAACACAAGGAGGAAGTAGGATAAGTGATGTCACATTGTAGGGATTGCAGCCTAGGTCATGAAACAAAGTGGGGATGAATTGTTGAATAGACCCCCAATCTGCTCTGTAAACCCTCATTCAATTCACATACACAGTAAAAGGCTCTGGGGAGACACCACCGAGGTCAACCTAGGATTCCTGCACTGTATCAAAACCCTCCAAGGTTGAGCATGGTGACTCAGTAGAACGTCAGTCCTGGAGTCTCCTGGAATCTATCCCCGGGTCCCACTTGAGTCCAGCAGTACGATGCTGGGTTTTGCTGAACAGACAAGCTGAGCCGGCCTCTGCTCCTGGAGAGAAATGCTCACCCCGACCCCTGCCCTGCTGCGCCACCACCCCCCCTGCACTTACTCTCTTACATATTTTGTCCAGTTTGGGAGACAAGAACCCTTACTTGGTGGCCAAGAGGCAGGACCCTGGAGTAGGTGTTGGGGGGCATCATGGAGTGGCCTCACATCCCACCATTCCAGATGTGGGGTCAAGGTATGGCCTGTCTGAACCTCAGTTACCACATCTATACAATGGGTTTGATTTCAGTTGCTTCACAGGGGCTTGTGGAAAATCTGCCCCCAGAGCCCTGTGCAAAATAGCTGTACCCTCACTGTTGGGTGTGCTAACCGTCATTGCTGAGAGCAGGAGGGTGGTATGGGACCACAGTGCCACCTTGTATCATCTCCGATGGAAGGGCAGCATTCCTGACAGCTCTCACCCCCACAGTGGTACCCGGAGGTGAGTCATTTCTGTAAGAAGACCCCCATCTTGGTTGTGGGTTGTAAGACGGACCTGCGCAAGGACAAGACACTGGTGAAGAAGCTTCGGAAAAACAAACTGGAACCAGTGACCTACCACCGGGTAGGAAGCCTGGGCGGGGATGGGGAAGGGAACCTCTGAGATGTGCACTGTGGTCTAGCCCAGCCTCACCTACCACCGGGTAGGAAGCCTGGGCGGGGATAGGGAAGGGAACCTCTGAGATGTGCACTGTGGTCTAGCCCAGCCTCTCAGCTCCGGGCGGCCAGAGAGCACGGGGTGAGGCTACTAGAGTATTGCAGCAGTTTCCAGCTAGAGGAGGGAGGGAGGGAGGAGTTAGTCCTACCCAGCGCTACCCTGAAGATTTTAGAGCCTCAGAAACCCTATCCAAACTAGGACACTTAACAACAACAAACCCGCTTCACAGATGGGGAGCCTGAGGCTCAGAGGGGTCACCAGTTATTTCTGCAGGGGCTAGGTTGATGGTGGTGGTGTTAGGTACCGTTGAATCAGTTCTGATTCATAGAGACTCTGCATAGGGTTTCTGAGGCTTTAAATCTTCACTGGAGCAGAAAGCCTCATCTGCTTTCCCATGGAGCGGTTGGCGAGCTTGAACCTCGGACCTTGTGGTTCACAGCCCAGTATTTATCGTATGGAGCCACTGCACTCCCCTGGGTTGGTACAGAAAGTTAACTAGTTGGTGCCTCAAAAGGCACAGAGACCCAGCCCGGAGCTGAGGTAGGAACCCATGAGGGTGTAGGTTAAGCCAAGGGGTGGGCTGCCCTGGAAAACATCCACCCTACCATTTTGCCCTGGGACTTCCTGGGTCAGGGCTGAGGGAGGCTGGACATGAAGTCCACCCAGTGGCCTCCACCTCACAGCAGGCCCGTTCACTCTCCCCAATAGGGCCAGGAGATGGCGAGGTCCGTGGGTGCGGTAGCCTACCTAGAGTGCTCTGCCAGGCTCCAAGACAATGTCCAGGCCGTCTTCCAGGAAGCAGCTAAGGTGGCCCTCAGCAGCCACAGTCAAAACTTTTGGCGTCGGATTACCCGGAGCCTTTGTGTGCTGACCTGACCTGCCTCTGCTGAACTACACCACAAACAGTGAGGGAAGGTGCTGGACACTGACCTTCTGCCACCTTGACTGGGCTGGACCCAGCCACATGTGGTTGGTGACTGCCAAAACCGTGCCTCAGAGAAATAGGCACCACTAAGACTGGGCTGGAATCCCTGGACTACAGCTAAATCTCAGAGCGAGAGGCTCTCAGCCCATCAGACATATGGAGTCTAGTCCTGCAGCTCCTAGAATCTCTACCAGACTCCCAGGTCTGACCCAGAGCAGCCATACGCCACCTGGTGGCTGTTTCTGGGGTCTTCTCACCATCCCTGCCAAAATCCTCACCCTGCCCCTCTCCCTTCCCCACCCCATACAATTAGATTGTACAATTAAAAAAGCATCACTTTTCAGGCTGTCCCGTGCCTTTTGTTTCAAAAAGAATAAGAATCTGCCTCGTGTATCCAAACTTTATCACTTCCAGAACATTTGGCAAATGACTTGAACCCTCTAGGCATCAGTGTTCTCATCTGTGAAATGGATCAACTATAGACTTCAGGGAGTCCTAGGGTGGCGCTGTGGGCTGATGCGTCAGACTGCAAAGTTGTTTGAACTGCAAGGTTGGTGGTTCAAGCTTAGCAGCTGCTCCGTGGGAACCCTATAGAGGGTCGCTGTGGGTCAGAAATCAACTCAACAACAACATAGACTTCTGGTGTGGCACTATAGGATGAGCATTGGACTGTGAACCACAAGGTCAGCAGTTCAAACCTACGTTGGAAACGCTATATAGGGTCACTATGAGTCAAAACCGGCTCGGCGATACTTAACCACAAAAACATAGACTACACACTGCTAGAGGGTTATGAGGACCAGCACGTGCCAAGAGTCACAAAAGGTTCACAAGCACAGCTTTTATTTACCTACAGGCAGACCTTGCTTTAGTTGTTCTTTACAGGTGTTACAAACGTTTCAAGATTTCAGACATTTTCATCATACTGCAGTATAGTATGGAGTCCTGGTGTGCTGCTGTTGGTTAATGCGCCAGACTGCAAAGCCGTTTGAACTGCAAAGTCAGCAGTTCAAGCTCACCAGCTGCTCCTAGGAAACCCTATACAGGGTCACTATGGGTCGGAACTGATTCGACAGCACTTCATAACAACAACAACAGTATAGTATAAATATGACTTTTATATGTACTTCTTGTTCAGTGCCATCGAGTTGGTTCCGACTCATCGCGACCTTGTATAGAATTTCCAAGGAGCGGTTGGTGGGTTATATGCACTGGGAAGCCAAAAAAAGGAGTCATGGTGTTGCAGCAATTTAAGCATTGGACTGCTAACCACAAGGTTGGTGGTTCAAACGTACCAGCTGCTCCCCAGGAGAAAGAATCCTATGGAGCAGTTCTGCTCTGTCCTATAGGGTCTCTATGCGTCCAGATCGGCTTAATGGCAGAAGGGTTTGGGTTTTTAAGGTGGGTTGGGAAAGCAAAAAATTCGTGTGGCTCACTTTATTGCAATATTCACCATATTGTGATGGTCTGGAACCGAACCCTCAGTCTCTCCGAGCTTCTCTGTTTAATCATCTCATACTTCCGATCAGTAATACTGCTGGAGAGAGAAGAGGCAAGAGGGCAGAATTCAACTTTCCCCTTTATCAGATGAGAAGACTGACCCCCACCACCATAAGCCTATCCCGTCATCCACCTTGTGCATCCTTCTATCCCACCTACCTTTGCACAGCCCCACACAGCGTCCCATCTGCCTCTGGACTCGTCCTGATGGAACGTAACACCTTCAGGGAAGTTACCTTCCTCAGCTGCACCCGCCTCCTCTGGCTGGCTAGGGCCCCTCCTCTGTACCACCTGTGGACTTGCATATTGGACCCACTAGGCTTTTCGGGCCCACACTGTGGATTCCCCATGTAATAGTTCTAGAAAGCTCCTAAATAGCTGAAGTCCTGAGTCTTCATCGGGTCTAACTGATTCCTCACCAGGCCTAACTGATTTATCAGCTTCACCTCACCTAAATAATCTGTCATCTAAGTAATCCCGCACCTAGTCCAGGTGGCCCCTCACCTGAGCAGTTTCTGATGAAACTATCACACAGTAGGGTAACGCTGACTTTCATTAGATAACTTTTATATCAGCCGGAAAGAAATAGCCCAATTCGAGGAAGAATTTCATGTTCCAGCTCAGCAACGTTAAGACACTCTATGTGTGGTTAGAGTCAGAAGTTAGCATTACACTTTAGAAATGTTCAAGTTTGAGTTCAGCGCTCTGGGGTGTGCAGGAGATTTGGAGGACTCTGGCTGCCGCTTCATGGTCAGGCTCAGCTCAAGCCCCAGAACATAAGTTTTTCCGGGCAGATAGCAAGCTGTGGGTAGTGTTCAGGCCACACCCCTCAGGGACAGCCCGGAGGTTACCTTCAGGAAGTGGCTCCGGTTTAAAGCCCTGCAGGACCCTCAGTGCTGTAAGAAAGAGCAGGAACCCGGGTGGATTTTCTCTCAAATCACTCTATGCTCTAACCCACCCAGCACTCCCGGAGTGCCAGCTCTGTGCTCAGGAATTCTCCACATAGTAAACTCAGTTAACATAGCCCCCAGAGAGCTGAGTTCTATTACTGCACCCACTTCACAGATGAGGGCTCTGCAACTTGCTGGAAATCTCAAGAAGTGACAGGACCAAGATTCTAGCCCAGGATCCAGGCTGTCAATTCCAGTCTGGGATCCTGACCCTAGACCCAGCTCCATTGTTGTTGTTGCTGTTAAGTGCCGTCGAGTCGGTTCCGACCCATAGCGACCCTGTACAGGGTTTCCGAGGGTGTAATTCTTTACGGGAGTAGAAAGCCTCATCTTTCTCCCGCGGAGCTGCTGGTAGTTTCGAACCGCTGACCTTAAGGTTCGCAGCCCCGGCTCCATGGAGATCACAATTTACAGAGACCAGAAAGTTAGCTACTGTTCTTTCAGCAGTTGGACAAGCCCCGCCTCACTCACTCTTGCCAATCACCACAGCCATCACAGCCATGGAGGAGGTGGGGAGAGGCTGTGGGAACCCAGCGGCGATTTGACCAGACACTAACCAGTGACCATAGACTTGCAGCTCACAGGAGAGGCAGCTGACTGCGTGTTCCAGGAGCTCAGCAGAACGGATGGGAGCTGGCGTCACTAGGTTCCTGTCAGGCCTGGACCAATGAGGTGGCATTGTCGGGCCCATTTCTCAGAAGCAAACAAGGACCAGAATAATAAAGTGACCTGCAGAAGGTCACATGGCCAGAAGAAGGAGGGAGCTTCCACCGGGGCTCTCTCACTGCCCTGCCCTTCACAGAAGACCCATAGGTAGAAGGTTGGGGTTTCCGTGGGCAGGATTCTGAGGAGGGTTTTGGAGTGGAGGAGAGACAGAATGGGGGTCAAGAAGGTGGAGGGTACAGAGGTGTGGGAAAGGGGCTTCTGGGGCTGAGGCAATAGGAGGAGATGGGCACGTGCCTGGCTGGGGAGCAGGTCTTTCTGGGGAGCAGTGAACATCAAGACATACACACGCCACTTCCTCCAGCCACCTTGCCCTGCCAAGTCCACTCTCCTTCTTTGCTTTCTTCTAGACCACCACTCATCTGTCAGCTTGTGGTACTATGCTGGCTTGTCAGTTGTGATGCTGGAAGCTATGCCACTGGTATTGTAAATAAACCAGCAGGCTCACCCACAGTGGACAAGTTTCAGTGGACCTTCCAGACTAAGATCTAGAAGAAAAGGCGAATTACCTCTGAATGTTTGTTGTTGTTGTTGTTGTCAGGTGCTATCGAGTCGGAACCGACTCATAGCGACCCCATGCACAGCAGAACGAAACAATGTCCGATCCTGGGCCAACCTCACTACCGCTGCCACACTTGAGTCCATCAATGATGCCACCTGGCTGATCCATCTCGTTGGGGATCTTCCTCTTTTTCTCTGACCCTCCACCCTACCCAGCATGACATCCTTCTCCAACGATTGTTTCCTCCGGACAATGTGTCCAAAGTATGAGAGACGACATTTGGCCATCCTGGCCTCCAAGGAGCACTCTGGCTGCACTTCTTCCAAAACAGATCTATTGGTTCTTTTGGCAGTCCATGGCACTTTCCGTATTCTCCTCCAACACCACAACTCAAAGGCATCAATTCTTCTACGATCTTCCTTATTCACTGTCCAGCTTTCGCATCCATATGAGGCTATTGAAAACACCATGGCCTGAGTCAGGCTCACCTTAGTCCTCAAGCTGACATCTCTGCTCTTCAATACTTTAAAAAGTTCCTGTGCAGCAGATTTGCCCAATGCAATACGTCGTCTGATCTCTTGACTGCTGCTTCTGCGAGTGTTGATAGTTGATCCAAGAAGAATGAAGTCCTTGACAACTTCAATCTTTTCTCCATTGATAAGAATGTTGTTTATTGGTCCAGTGGTGAGGATTTTTGTTTTCTTGACATTGAGATGTAATCCATATCGAAGGCTGTGCTCTTTGATCTTCATAAGTAAATGTTTCAAGTCCTCTTCACTTCTGAATGTTTAGCCACCTTATAAATAGCTGCATTGTCAGATATAGTGCTGAAAGATGAAAACATTATGAATATCACCAGAAGAGTGACAGATAACAGTGCCAGAAGATGAGTCTCTCAGGTTGGAATGCACTCAAAATACAACTGGGGAAGAGCTGCCTCCTTGTGATGACACGAATGGAGTAAAGCCTTCGAGACCTTCATTTGCTGATGGGGCACAACTCAAAATGAGGAGAAACAGCTACAAACATTCATTAATAGTTGGAAAATGGCATGTACGAAGTATGAATTTAGGAAAATTGGAAGTTGTCAAAAATGAAATAGAACACATAAAGATCAATATCTTAGGTATTACTGAAATGGACAGGTGTTGGTCATTTTGAATCTGACAATCACATGGTTTACTATGCCAGAAACAACAAATTCAAGAGGAATGGCATAACATTCATCATCAAAAAGAATATTTCAAGATCTGTAGCCATATGGTACTGGACTTCA